CATTTTATCAGAGAGAAGGTTCTGCAAGAAGAGATAGAGATGAGACATATCAATACAGATGATCAAGTTGCGGACTTGTTCACAAAAGGTTTGAGTACCGGCAAGTTGGAAAGATTTCGTCGTCAACTCAATGTGGTGCAAAGGATGTGAGCTGGTGTTGAGGGGGAGTGTTAAAGTATCAACCCCAGCTCAACCTATTTTGAGGAGCAATCTCTACAAAGTTCTAGAAGTATAAAAGGAAATAAAGCCTAGAAAAGGAAGTCAACATTTGAGCTAGATAACTATAGAAAAATCTGGAAAACTGGAGAAAGCTTCACCGACTTTGTAACTAGTTGATGTATTAGAATAATATAGTTTATTCTAGAAAGATGCATAAACTATGGAAAGCAAAGCAAGTTGGCAGCCAAGTTGAAGCATGAAGAATTGTCTAGAAGGTAAAACAAGGCGGTGGAATGGAGAGCAAAGTCGGCAACACATAACTATAAATAGGCATGAAGCCATGCATTGTATACAATAAAGAAGTCAAGAAGTGTGTCAACAAGAAGAGTGTGAATAAGTAGAGTGAGCTAGAGAGTTAGTAGCTCTTGTGAGAAGTGTAAGTGAAGAGAGAAAGAGTCCTTGTAAGAATTTGTCTTTCCTTTGAGATTTGTCTTGTTGTAATATTTTGTGAGTCTAATACAAGTAAATTGTTTACTTGTTTTGTCTCCAACAAGTCTCTACATTAGAGTTGTGTACTCTAAATTTGCTCAACACGACGGACATCTCCCTTGCCCTCCAACAAGTGCCTAATGTTGTGTGCCTTGGTTGTCTGGACGCGGTTCTTGTGTTATGTTAGATGTTTTATTGTTGGTTTCCTTTGTAATGTTGTGTTTTAGTAAAAATTAGTTAAAACTTCAATGTTGTTAACTTATGTACATGCTAATAAACGGGTTAATCGTGTGAACCTAGATGTAACAGAACTGGACTTATGTGTGTATAAAAATTTCATGTGCGCGGGTGCAAAATAGTTGACAAGATAATTGAATCGTGTTTGTGTTAATTCTGGTTGTGTAACTGTTGTTAAAGTATTGTCGACACAACACGCGAACACGAATTGTTATCCCTACTTTAAATTAATAACGCTTGACAACCCTCTTAGAAAAATTGTATCAAACCAAACCATATTTGGCTGCGTGCAATATTCATTCACCTTATGATTTGGCTGCGTGCAATATTCATTCACCTTGAGATATGATAATTATGATATGGGCAATGCATTTAGGGCAATTGATTTTTCATAAACCACCACCTAGATTTGCATTAATTCTCAATGCAAGCACTCGGATACTCTCATTACCAAATAATGACATGCAGAAAGATTTCAATAGATCCCCATATCCACTACGATTCTCATATTGCATGCCAAGGAACAATGGAAATGCACAAAGATCTCAAACCCTATATACAGAAGATCAATAAGTAGCATGAAATTGGAGCCACATCTTTGTCTTCTGTGCTAGCTTTTGGACAACAATTTCTCAACCCCTTCCAGTGAATAATTATAAACTTTTCATCCAGAAAACCACCATCAATATATTAGAGATCGATTTCATTATGGAAGGTAATTACAAATCTTCTAGCTTCTTTTATAGTAATTCCATATGTCGCTTGTTTAGTTCTTTACTTTTGATCAAGATGCTAGGGTTTTTACTAACATTTGTTTCTCTACGTGTGGTTGCTTTACCTATTTTACTACTTTACTAACATTTGTTTCAAGGTTCGAATACCTATATATCTTTTATTTTCATTTCTTACATAATCTGCTTGGAATGATTTGAATCAAAGACCTAGTACCATTAACTCATTGCTTAGTTCCTTGTGCATGCATAAAGAGTAATTTTTTCCTTACGAGCTGAGGCGGGCAAATCACAATTTGACACATGACGCTAATTTTTCCATGACGAGTCATTCTCATGTATAAATAGATGGGTGTCGAGCTGTGATTTGCCTACCATACATCTTCACCAATTTGTTTTCTTTTTCTCTCTTTTCAGAGAAGTCCAAGTTGTTAATGCAATGTATGCGTTGTTTATATAATTTGAGTTTTTACGTCTAGAAAGTTGTTACGTGAATTCATTATAGATGCTTGTTGTTTTCGTCATTTCAGATAAGAGAGATGCAGGAGGTATTGATGCAAGGCAAAAGGTGCTTGTTGGTTTAGTGCCGCTGCTCTTTGTCATCTTCATGGTTGCGTATTATGTGTATACCCTTAGAAAACGAAGCCAGCAGGATGGTTAGACATTAGAGAGTATTTAGTTCCCAATTCCTCTCAACATGGCATTGTAGCAAGTCATAATTTTTTGTTGCTAATTAGGGCACTTCCATGATTTTTTTTTTGTTTGCCTACCGTACATTATGGAGAAGATGTATGGTAGGGAAACACATTGTGGGACAATGGTGGAAAAAAATCCAGCATTAAACAAACAATCAAAAAATGGAGAAAGAAAAAAACAATTTACACACCAGGCAACGAAGAGACCATTATACACTTGTAATCAGCACATCTCCATGGAGGAAATAGGAACAGAAAAACTCAGATAGCTCATATCTAATTTCACTGTTTCAAATTTCCAGTCCATATACTACTGCCCTATAACATGCTCCAAAAAAAATTTCGGCCACATTTTACAGCAATCATAACAATCAATTATTTCCTTGTTGAGCTGCAAATGTATGTTACTATATAAAAAGCATTAGCCGATTTCACTAATGAAACCGGGATGGTAACAACCGAGAAACAGATGTTCTTGTCACTCCAAATTGTAAAAACACAAGCTGGAAAAAGAGCTTTCTTTTTATTTAAGTACATATCTATTTTGCTGATGTGCTCGGCATGTAGCCTGAATGACCAAGGAAATAAGAAATGTATATTATTTGGTATACCTGAAATAGTCATACTCGGGAAGAAGACAGAATCCTTCTCTGGTAGAACTAAGAACTTGCACCAAAAACACGAATCCTATGTTCAATGGGAGCCCGGCAACATGGGCAGGTGGCTTTACCTTTTTTCCCATAATCTTCATTGCAACTGGCACAAAGAACTTGATGCGCACATGGCAGGAAAACAACGGAGACTTCGTCTTTCATACAAATCATGCATTCCCTATCACAGCTGACTTCTTTCTCTGATGAATTCTCCAGGTTATCTAATTCACGAAGCAGCTTAGCAATAGTTTCTCCTTGGGGTTTTGCGCCCTCAGAAATTGCTTTTGGCAAAGCATTTGATGGATGAAGCAATTCGGTAGACTGGGCAGATATTTTTAGGCGTGAGAGTTCCTGCTCAAGTCTTTGGAGGTCATCCTTGTGACGCTGGAAATCTATTTCTATCTTTAGGCGCAAAGCCTCAAGCTTTCGTTTATTACTAGCCTCAGCTGCTTCCTTAGCACGTCGTTCCTCTTCCACTTGTGCTAAGGCTTCCTCCTTAGCCTTCAGCTCCTGCCCCCATTTCACCTGTAACAAGAAAATAGCACAGCAGAATTAGTGCACTGGTATGGGCTATGTAGAATCCAAAGATCAATAAATATTAATATGAAACTCCAAAGCACATTACAGAAGCACATCAATGGAGAGATTTTTTACCACCAACCAAATGCTCAACCCCACAGGCCCCAGCCAGGGAGCGCTGCTGCCATTGAAAGTTGACCCAAAAAAACAGGTGGGCTTTGGTTTAGAGATATTTTGAGAGTGGTGATGGATTATGTGAGCGCTTCGGTGATTGGTACTTTTAATCTTATCATATAAATTTTGTAGAACAAAAAAGTGAAAGGGAGGAAGAATAAAGGGAATCCTAAAGGGGAGAAAGAGAGAGAGAGAGAGAGAGAGAGAGAGAATCAATATGACAACAGCAACAGTCTGAAACCCTATGACAATTATGACTCTTTTACATGGCAATCCCAAAATGATCAAGTAAAAAAACACCTTACAAATAAACCCTGATAATTAATACCTAAACTATAATAAGCAAAAGCTGAATATATAAAATAAATATCTTAAATTCTAAACTTCATAAAAAATAATGATTAAATCAACCTAATTTCTAGGTTTGGGCTTATGGCCAAAATAAAAATTGTTTTAACTTGCATCCTTCACTGGGGGCTTTGGTAACACATTCCATATAGAAGTGGGTGGTTCTAATTTGAACCCCCCAAATTCCTCAATTGATTCACTCACTTATTTGTAAATTTATAAACCCATTGAAGAAAGAGAAAAATAAATCAAAGATAAAATTTGGGGGAAAAAGACCTTTCATCCCCTTCACACCCCCATCCAAGAGGTGCCAGAATCTAGCATCCAAGGTTTTTACTAAGTTTAAAAAATTAAAAGACAAACTTTGGAATAGAAAAAAAGGATTTCTAATCTGTCCCTTACACAAACCCTCCTGCCACTTTTACCAACCAGTTTACTCCATTCATAATGTAAGGAGAACTTTACCTAACAACAAAACAAAAACTTCAAGAAAAATGGATGTGAGTCCCAATTTGGTGGCTACACTCCCTATAAATAAGGGGTTAAACAACATAGCCAATGTACCAACTTCATCAATGTCAATATTGACTTGGTGGTTGTTGCAGTTCCCCATATTTATACGGCTACACAAAATAGCCACAGCAAAACCGAACAGAACTTTAGAACAATTAGAAAAAACCATATACATATTCATACATAATTGCCAAAAAATAAGTACCAATGTAAATATGAGTACACAAACAGAACAAAAAATAAAATAAAATTTATTGGTAAGCAGCCCATTGTCACCATCTCAGCCTTTAAGAACAAAAAATAAAATAAAATATATTGGTAAGCAGCCCATTGTCACCATCTCAGCCTTTAACACTAAAATTCAACTTCAAAACCCATCAAAATCCCCACCAAAACAACCATTAAAAACAACAAATCCACCCATCACCTTGAAAACTGCGGGCCCTTTAACCCAAAATATAAAACGTACCCCTAAAACTCCCAAACTAGGGAGAGAAACAGAAGCTGAGTTGTTTAATAAAGCAATGCTGATGCCAACAAAAATCTAAAGATTATACTCACACAACTGAAAATGTCACAAAGTTTCAGTCAACAACTTAAGCTGACCAAGGATGGGAAGCTAATTTTGCCTGAGAAATGACCAGCATAAAACTATATTTTCAATTACCAAAAAAAAATTGAGGGGTTCAAGTTAGCAAATTTGGGGTTCAAACAGAACCACCTTTTGGTTTATCATTTATGATACACAAAAATAGGCAGCTAAATAGGATGACTAGTTTCTTTGTGCATATTTGCAACATTTCAGATACAATTGTTAAAAGTATGATATAAATACCCATTACAATATATATATATATAGCTTACTACATTTCTCAAACATGGTCAACTCAGTAAGACATCCGCAATGGTTGTTCTATGCAATAATGTCAGCATTCTTTCATCCTTGAACTATTGAACAACCATTGCGGATGCTCTTATAAAAAGAAGTGAAAGTAAAAAATTAAAAATAAAAATCCAATCAACTACAAAACCTATAGCCAACAATAGCAGTTCCAGTGATACAAAAAACTGGTAAAATAGAATTTAGAAAAAATTAAAACCCCAGAACCAACCTGAAGATATTAACAGTTTAAAGCGAAAGGAGCATCTAGCTAGGACATAGTACTGGATTTGCTATGAAAACATTTTAAGTCAAGAAAACTTTACCCAGAACCCAAGTGATATAGGACCAATTACATGATAAATGAAGTATTCCAAACTTCATGGAATTACAACAATACACTTCGGTACTTCACAAGTGGCGTCTTAGGTGGAGAAAGATTATAAAACAGCAAGAAAAGGTTGGAAACTCTAAACTCCCCATCATATCATAAGCATATCCGAAGTACAACAGAATGAAATCAGATAGATAATAGACCAAAGAATACCAGCCTATGATCCTTGACTTCTTCATTACTCTAAACCAAACTCTAGAATCCCATGCTTTTAGATGGCAAGGAGCCTGAGCTTGCATATTGTAGTATCTAAACTATTCCTCCACTCAATGATCCCTCTTCCATTACACTGTGAGACCTTAAGTTTTGAATGGTTACTCAAGTGATTGCTTCACTTAAGTTTGTTGTTCAAAACTAAACATTTGGTTCAAATCAAGGGTTTGCTTGACTTTCTATGAATCAAAAAACATGGCCCTATGTAACCAGACATATTAACAACTTGTAAATTCAAATAACATGAACATGCATTATGTAAAGAGACACCTGCGGTGGGTATCCATGTGCAAAGATAAAATATATGAAGTCAACAAACCTCAGCTTCTTTCTGATCATGCTTCATCCGAGCCAAATGTTGTTGCAATTCTGAAATCTTTTCTTTCTCCTCTGCAATCTCTTCCTGCAGTTTAATTTTTTGTTTCTCCCATGCTAACATCCTCTTCAGGCACTTTTTCTCCCTCTTTGCCACCTCCAAACAGGTTATGACTGACTCTGATGCACTCAGTTTAGAAGCCTCCATCTCTGCTCTGATTTCTGCATTCTCAGTCTCAAGCCGTCTCACAGCTGCATTTGCCCTGTCCACTTGACCACTGGCCTTTCTTAATGCATTCTCCATCTCCGATAGTCTCTTCATAGTTGTGTCCTCAAGAGTTTGTTTCCCTTTCTTCAACCTTTGAGTCTCCTCCCTTTCGAGCCTCAGCATTTTAAGCTCTGCCAGGTCATGGCTGAGCTTTGTTGCAGCTTGCATAGCCTTTTGGTGGGCCCACTCCTTCCGGTCCTTAACTTGCTTCTCAAGCTCTTCAACCTGATGAAGAAGATTTACTATCACCTCATTCTTTTGATCTTCCCCCACAAACTCTAAATTCTCATCAAGATTCAAATCACGAAACTTACTCAACACTGAGTTAACCACCTCCTGGTTCTTCGAATTTCGTGTTTTCTCAGACTGCTGAACCGGAACTTCAGACCCTAGTGCAACCGGGGTATCCCCACTTGCCAAATTACTCAGGCAAGCCTGTGGTTGTGCATTTAACTGTTTTGAGTTTGCTCGAAAACCAGCTGCAAATATTGCAACATTCCTTTTCAACAATGACTTCATTGAAGGAGAAAGGTTAAACCTCTTGGGACACTCAATATCCCTTTGCAAAGTCAACTCAGCACCATAAGAGAAAAACCCATGAACAGGAAACTCTGAACCTCCCCCATTTCCAAACCCCCAACCACCATGAAACCTACAAAGAGCCGGAGCCATAACACCAACCGAATGGTTACCATTACTACCAGACTCAACATTACTAGATATCGAACCACTATTTTCATTAACTCCTCCGGGAAGCACAGGAATTTCCATAGTACTTGCTCGACCCACATGAAGATCACTCATAAGCAAACACCACATGGCATCACCTTTGCTCAAATGTGGTCTAACTTGCTGCAACATACACACCATACCAGCAAGCGAGTACTCCTCTAACTGCCTCAAATCAGCAAAAACGGGCTCAGCCTCATCCGACTTCCCATTACTGCTACCACAATTACTATTCAAATAAGCCAATGAGTTATGCAAAATGTTGGTCAGCACATCCATGCCACCATAGCAGTGCCCATTTCTCAATATCGCTTTAAGCGCAGCATCCTCATCATAACCCAATGCAACTAGCTTAGAAATAGCCTCATTGTACAAAAATTCTAAATTCTTCAAAAGAATTTCTTCTAATTGTTCCTCAGTGCAGTAACCCCACCCACCCTCATCGAAATTGGAGTTGGGGCTTGGGCTCGATTTAGGGTTCTGGGTGGAATCGTTGTTGGAACCCAGATGGTGATTGAATGGTTTGAGACCCGATTCGAGTATGGATTTAGAGATTGATGCTCTATCAATGTGGCAACAATAATCGAAATCGGGTTTTGCAGATCGGGGCCTACGATTTGTACGGATATGCTTCTCTCTCACAGTGCAACCCATTGTGTGTAGTATATATAATTATATATCTAGCTGTATCTATAGGCTTAGAAAAAAAAAATTATAAAAAAAAAATCGTTAAAATAAAAGCAGGAGAGTTACAAAGAAAGTGCATCGAAATATGATATTAACCAGAATGAAAATTTCAAGAAACTCACATGGAATTGGGGACGATCGGCGTCTGGCTGTTGTCTCAGTTGCCGAAACTGAGAGAGAAAGAGAAGCGAGAATAAGAGGAGGGCATGCAAAACAGGAGGAGCTTTATATTTCTTTTTTCTTTTTTTCTTTCTTTTTGGTTAGGTGTTGAGTTGAGCGTGTGGAACGGGAAATTTGGAAAACTGACCGCTGGTGTTATTTTCTTTTTGTTTTTTGGGGGCAAATTGGTAAATGCATTAACCAGCCACATGTACCGTGTGTATTGTATGGTAAATCACCAAAAACATACAAAAATTACTCCAACAGCAAACTACAAGCAAATGAAATAGAAGAACAACATCGAGAGCAGGTACCACAGTGGTGGCCTCCCCCCTCCCCCTGCTTGACACCCAAGTTCGAAACCCGAAGGGGTTTCTTTTCTCCCAATGTAACAAAAAAAAATAAAAAAAATAGAAGAACACCAAACTAGCGAAACACAACACTCAAATCAGATAAAGTGACAACGCTAGACATAGCAAGGAAACGTCAATATCCATCTCAAAAGAGAAGAGGCGTGCTACTGGTTAGGACAAGGCAGACCATCCTTGTTCAATATCCCAAAGTTGTCCTAGCTAAAAAGGCGAACTTGCACCCTTAAGTCACAGCCAAGGCCTATGCCAGAACAAAGGAATTAGTGCATATAAGTCTAACCAAGCTCGCAATGAAATCTCCCATCTCATCACGCAAAATCACACCAACACTGGCTCTAGCTCCCCATTTCTCCAAGATGCATCAACATTAACTTTTATAAGATTTGAGAGCGGGGTGGATCACACGGCAAGCGGGCTATAATGTTGGCTATGGGGTCTTTTAAGGTAATTCTAACATTGCAGCGCCATCCCAAATTTAGAGCAAGAGTATTGGATAGCTCTGATAAAAGCTTCAGGACAATGGGGCTGAAACTCAATGACTACTTTGCAGCGAGCCTTCCAAATGTGTGAGAGAGTATAAGCAACAACTTGTGAAAGCTTGTGGAACAATGGATCAGATGATACCCAGACCTGACAGTGTAGCCCCCATTTATTTCAGCCAAATCAATCTATCTCGTAGCCCATAATTAATAAGGTTGAGTTTCTCAATTGCCACTGTAGTTTGGTCATTAATCAAGTGCTAGATTGGAGTTAAATCCCAAGATTGATGAGTGAGATCGATAATAGTTTTGACTTGTTAATCCATATCAACCACCACATCGGGGTTATGAGGACTGCGAATGTGCCCTGTATTAACTCAGACTAGTGACTAGTACTTTTATAATAATAAAAAAATCTAACATTATTTGGAGATAAATCACATTCTAATTATGACCAGAAGTACGCTTCCCAAATGCGCTTTGAGTTGATTGTATAATCTATCGAATAAGTTTATGAAACCAAGTTTTGTGCTTTAATCTTTTTCCCAAGAAATTGATGGGATAAACTTGGCTCTTGTCTTGAGAAAAGGGAGGGTAAGATACACCCAAGATTGATGTTGCAATTGAAGTGCTGACCTTGATGTCACCAGAGCCCAATGCATTCTGTAAGTTTCGCATTGCTGGGAGGACATACTGGCAAAGTCTCCTGGGAAGACCTCATTGCCAACAACTATGTATTGAAATTGGATTTGCGGCGAATAAGGCAAATTGTATGTTGCTACCCAGTTCTCAGCAGTAGAGTACGAGCTTGCAAGTTGTTGAAGATCCTCATTCTTGACTCCAACTAGGATTTCGATGCCAGAATCGTGAAGGGTCTCTAGTGCTTCCAGGTTTGGATTATATAGTCTCATTCATCCTATATGATTCGATTTGTACATGTCAATAACTTCTCTTGGTGGTGGCAAGTCATTGGCCACCATTCCATAGCATACTCCAATTGAAGAACCTTCTGTAAAATTTGGTCCAAGTAATACTGAAATCGAGATGGTGAAGATGAGACAAAGCAATTGAAAGTTAGTGGCCATTACAAAGATTGCTGCTATTCGAAATGAGAATAGAAGAATCAGGCCTAGAAAACAACGTCTAGAACCAAAGAACAAAAGTTTTGGAATTTACTCACAAAACGAGAAGCCTGATAACCATTTGTCGACCCATAGTCTGACCTGCCAAACATCTAAGATTTGCTAATGAGCGCCATGGAGGAGAATCTCGCTGCCTTGGAGGAATCTGTAATTAAGGCATCCAAAGAAATTCTAGTTCATTGATCAAACGCCAACATTAGTTGGCAATAAGGCTAAATATTGAACTCATGAAGATTTCTAAAACTCATTCCCTCTGTCTGCTTTGATTGTCCTAATGCCTCCCAACTGATCCAGCTAACTCTTCTTTCATCATTGGTTTGACCCCACCAGAATTTTGATAAAATATAATCAAGCTAGTGCAAACCAAGATCGAAAAGAGGAAGATATGCATGAGATATATAAGCACATCTTGTGTTATTGCCTTAATTAAAACTTCTCAGGCAACTTGTGATAGAAGTTGTTGTTTCCAACCTTTGACCTTAGCGAGAATTCTCTCCTTGCTATACCTCAAAGCCTCCCATTTAGTAAGGCCCTAAATAGTTGGCGGCCCCAAATATTCCCCAAGATCATCCACGTTCGATATTCCAAAAATTCTACATAACTTCTCACAAATATTACCCTGTCATCTGCCTGCACTTGCCACGTCTGGCGCCAGTTTTGCTCCACGCTGCATATTTGGCTTGCCTTGGCATGGTTGACCACACATTCGGTCTCATCCCTACTCACAGTACCAAGGAAATTTTCTATCCAGCCATTCATTTCTCGCTTTGCAATTCCAAGAATGTTTCTTGCTTGAAAATGCCACTCTTCCACATATCCCAATGGACAATCCGTACTCGAACTCCACTCAAATTTCACTAGAAATGTGACTAAAGCACGCTTAGATACTAACTGTAACAGGGGTGAAAAACGCCTTTAATTTTTCGACCCTTGCTCGGCACTTAGACTCCTCCTAAGTCAACCTTCTCGCACCTCCTACTCGTGAGGCTTCAGATTTCACACAGTGGAACTAGTGAATGCCAACACACCTAATGAAGACTTGTCTAAAAAGGAAAACTCATACATAATATACGGGCAAAGTTCCTAACCTTCTACTTCTTTCTCTCAAATAGCAAAGTATTACAAGCTTCTTACTTTTGTTAGACTACCGCATCACTTGGTATCTCAAATCAACTTTCTCAAGGTCTATTTATAAGCATAAAACGTGTAGAAGACACCTTATTCTACTAGGCATTAGTAGCTGCCCCTAGGTTCGCCACCTAGTTATTTAGTTTTCCCACAAAACTGCATAGCCCCCTCTTGGGGCCTCCCCCTTGGCGCCTCCTCAACAACCCACTATGCCTTGATGCCGATTTTCACTCCTTAAAAATCTCCCCATTACTTGGAGCACACAGCTACATCCATGTAAACTGCCTACAACCACTCCATCACTTATACATGTTTTAAATTTCAAACCCCAGCATCCCAGTCACGTTCCAACACTCTTGAAACCGCTCAAAACTACTTTGGCCATGTTAGAGTACTTGCCTAGGACGTTTGCCTGCACTTCCCACATCTGGCTCCAGTTCTGTCCCATGCGGCATGCACACGCTGGGCGCATGCTATTCTGTATGCCTTTGCTCCACATGGGCTGGGCCTATCTGCTCGAGAGGTGCTGCACACATCTACTCGTCGTGCGTTGCGTATTTGCTTGCCATGCACTGCCGAGAGCTTCCAAAGGCTTTACTAGCAGATTCCATACATTCCTCTGACCTTGTCTTGCTTCCAATGTGCACCACCGCTGCACATTTCTCTTGCCTTGGCATAGTGCAAAACACCAAAACTATGTCATGGCCTATGCCACTTACTAAGGGTCTTACAGTAGGCTTGGTCATGTTCAAAGCTGCTGCCAAGCTAATACAACTCAATCGAAAAATCAAGAGGGTGCGACCTTGTTTGGATGTGGTCTCCAAATCCAAGCCAAGTCAAGTGGCCTCCAATTCCAAGCCAAGTCAAGTGGTCTCAATTCCAAGCCAAGTCAAGGAGACCAAATCTCAAACCAAGTCAAGTGGAAACCCAAAGGCCTAGCCAAAACAAAGATATTGTTATTTATAATAGCAATAACCAAATAATAAATAAATTGAATGGCAAAACCCACAAGCTTGGCTTGGGGTCGGCCAAGGGGTTTAAGAGAATGTAGGATTCTCACCACCAAAAAATCAGTCGGAGTTTCTCGAGCAAGATTGGAGGTCTTCCTTGAGCGGTTTAAGGTTTGACTCCAAAAGAATTTTGAGGCAGCAGATGCAACAGTCAAAAGGTTTCCTTCAATAACAATGGCAATTGGAATAATGAAAGGAAAATGGGTTATCTGAGCTGAGCTTTTTATCAAAATCGTTTTTGTTCTTAAAAAAATGCGGGTTACCTTTTCGTTGGGTTTGTTGGTCGTCCCGTAAGAAGCTGCTACTTGGCTAACCCACTCGCTGTTGTAGTGCTTAATGGTTGAGTTTCCAATCCTTGTGTGATATCAAGGAGGCCAAGGTTGGCCCACACGCTGATGCTTGGTTTTTTAGTTGAATAGTTGGCTATTCAAATAGCCAACTTTTATGCTGATCAGATTATGAATAACCATATTGTTGGCGCTAAAACTGACTAGATAGAGATGAGTGCAACTTACAAGAGATGTGGACGATCAAGTAGATCGATTGAGTAATGGATGGAGATTCTTCCTGTCCTCGGATGCTGATCATGGATAGAAGATAAGCGAAACTCGTGAGGTCTATGGAACCGGTGTGGAACCAGCCTAAGACCCTCCGATGCTCGAGTAAGTTGATTTATAAGAGCTCTTGCTGTTGACCATACAAAAGTATAAAAGTCAAGCTAAAAAGGTCTCACCCTTGTATTGTGGTGAAGGAGCCTCTTTATAGAGGGCATCCAAACTTGGGTCAAATTGGCATGGGTGTTGAAAAGCTGTGAGCAATATATATGTTGCATATTATACTTTGTATATGTATGTAATAATATAATAAATTAAAGGCCTGTGGCCTAGGAGATTGGAGACAAGGATGAAAGGCCAACTAAGTGGCCTACGAACTCCCTTTCTCTATCTAAGAGAGTGATGTCAATCTGGAACATTCCTAAGGAGGAGAGAATCAA